TGCACGGCGCGCAGGCCGTCGAGGAAAGAGGTGAATGTTGGGGAGAGGCGTCTGTTGCTCAACCGTCAGTTTTTGATTAGAAAGAAGAAGACGAGGGGGGCCTACTTGTATGCCATGTCTGTGGCTGCGAAGACGGTGTCGCCGCCGACTTCTGGTCCTTCGAGCAGGCCCAGCATGACGTAGCCTGGCGGCTGGATTTCGTAGCTCACGTCCTGATGCCAGAGGGTCGTGGTGGTGCGCTGCTCGAGGAAGCGCGCGATTTCCTGGCGGTTGCCGTCGCGGTGGATGATATGGAATCCGGGGTGATTGCGCACTGTCCCGGAGACAGGCTGGTAGTTTGGTTTCCCGAAATGGCGCATGAATTGCTCCAGCTTTTCTGGGCCAGCGTCGATGAGATCTTGCGCCGGGAAGGCGACGACCTTGCGCTCTGAGACTAGCAGGGCCAGCTCGTCTTTGGCGGCGTCGGAGAGCTGGCTCAGCTGCACGCCTTCCACGATACTCCCGATCTGGGGCTGGATGTCCGTGAGTTTGACACCAGGGGTGAGCAGGTTGCGCTTGCTCTTGTCTTTCACGCGCAGGGCCGGATCCTCGTATTTGAAGGGCCGCAGAGGATCAAACCAGATCTTGTCCCATGTGGGGAGGTACTCTGGGTATCTGGTGCGTGAGGTGGATTCCTTGGTGACATCGACATAGGGGATGTTGATGTCGTAGCTGATGGGGATCTCTTCCTCGTGAGGATTGAGAGCTTGTGGCTTGCTGGGTGGTGTGACGGGGGCTGAAGCAGGCATGATTGAACGGAGAATGGGATGATGGACAGGAAATTTTAGATAGGACAATGCTGAAAATGGCCCAGTCAAGCAGAACTTTTATTCATGAAGGTAAAACAGAAGCTAAGAAGAAAAGGACATGCAGGAAGAATCTTGTTCCTCCAGGTGGTGAAGAAGACCTTGTAAGGCTTCTCGAGTATATACTGAAAGGCGAGATCTGATGCTGCAGAGGAAAAAGAAAAGAAAAGCCTAGATGGCGATGCGAGGACGGCAATGGAATAAATAGAGAACTCTACCGATGATAGATAAAACAAAAACATAAAATATCAAGTGTAAAAAATATAAAACAGAAACCATAATCTTAATCAAGTACCAAGTATCATACGGAGTCAGTAAATGGCGTCCGCCTCCACCAAGTCGTCATCTGGCGATAAAGACACAGTAAGTACGAACGCACATACTGACATGCACATAAAGCAAGCCGAGCAAGATATCAAAGGTAAATCGAAATAATCTAATTCCAATGTTTTAGCCAAGTGGATGACATCGTCGTCACGGCGCCAATGATCTCGTTGCAATGGCGTGCGTCGCAAAAAGGGCCGTGACTAGACTAGATAGACTAGGAAACTAGTTATTTCCCTTTCATCTCCGGGCCGGGGACTTGTAATTAGATTAATTGAATTCAAAAGAAATCAGATAATAATTCAATACTGTAGGTTGCATGTCCATGCAGTTACTCTCAGCTTCTTTCTCTCGTCTCGAGATGCAGGATAATCGCCATAAAGGGGGAGAGTTAGTCTACAGCGGGGCAGCGATATGGCAAGCCCAAAAAGAACTCCATACTTCAAGAGTCCCAAATTCAAAGTTCAGACCAGAAGAGAGAAGAAAGAAGAAAGAAAAAGCGGTCAAGAGTCCAGGAAAGGGTCCATCTGGCTTCAAGTCTATCCTTACTGACATCCTCATCCTCTTTACTGGGGCCCGTTGGAGATTCCTCCCATAGCTTTGCACCACCTTGAGCAGATGTGACTGATTGCAATGATGATTGGTTCTTTGGTTCTGTATTATTATGTTAGAATCATGTTCCGACAAGGATATTATAATAATAATACTAATTAATATTATCGTTATTAAATATTGTACTCTGTAATAGAAGGCAACTAGCTCCTCGGCCCTAATCCAAGACCCCAGGAGCTAGCCTAAGTATCGTGGAATACTAACGGGTATGTTCTACGGTAGATTTCCTCCTAACCATCTAGAGCAACGATTCCCTGCTCCCGTCGTGTTCCGGGAAATTGGCTCTGTCTCAATTTGTACTCTGAACTCTGTAGATAGCTGTACTACTCTATGGGATAGTCTATTCGCTTCTGATGCCGTTTCACCGCTTAATCTGCTCATAATGCAGATATCCATCAGTGATAAGGCAGTCGATAGAAACCGAGTGGACCCTGTCGCAGTATACGAAGTACGGAGTACGAAATCAGCCAAGGAACGGAGCTGTTGACTCTAGTTGTAGTAGTAGCAGCTGCAGCTCGGTAGCAGAGCTCTGCTATCTTGCATACTCCTTGCATCACTTGCTAGAACCTAGGCTAGGGGCTGAGTTCAGATACAGATGACCGAGGATTTAGCACAGTTCTGAGTAGTGAGTAGCCCCGGCTATTGTTCGTACTACTACCGCGATTTAGTTCGTAGACTAGAACTTTTTTTACGGCAATTTGACTGTGCATCGTGAGTGGTGGGTTTTTTTTTGCTGCTACTGATAAGGCAAGATGCTCTCGATGTGATGCAGCCAACTGACTTACATTATTGCGGAGTGTCCATATTCTTTCGTTGAATGATGACAACCCCTGGATAAACTCGTCCAGATCGCTAAATATTCGGCTGAACTGTGCGAATTGGCTGATTTGGTTGATTGATCTTCTTTGATCTGGCCTAGTATTGGGCTGACTCGCCGTCGCCTAAGCCTAACCCAACTGCCTAAGGCATGCACATGTTCGTCGGGCCCTGTGGTTGCTCTCAGCAGTCTCAGTCTCAGACTAGGAACGGAGGGGACCAGGATTGGGAAGCTATTCCATCTTCCCCGAACCACCATCTCCATTCTGAGATTCAAGACCAAGTGGACCAGACCTTGGAACTGGATGGAACACTCGCTTTCGGGATGCTCCAGCGTCGCACTCTCGGTTTGTACGGGCGGCGTAACGGAACTTTTTTCTACTTGTTAACATAACAACGGATTATCTACGGAGTGATGCATCGCAACATGACGGCGTAGAATATCCAATTAGTCCAACCCGCCTATGAAAGAGTTCCACCTACGCTTGTTCTAAGCCAAGACTTAACGCCCTTCTGTTTCTTTTCGGGAACGCGGTTCAACGCCCGTGGTTTATCATGGTTCCCCACATGGCATCGTGGCATTTGGCCGTGGGACTTTGAACACAACAACGCCTTACGAGTCTACGGTGGATTTCCGTCTTCAAGAGATAGACAGCAGAGATAACAGCGATGATGATAATGTACCTCCCTGTAGCAGAAGCATGAAGTATCATGCAGTCTGCAGTCTGCATCAGAATATCCGCACCCGGTTGCAAACGAGACCAGCAAGGTAATTCACTCATTTGTACTCCGTACTTCTGCCGGATTGCCTGAATTCATTGTTTTGTCGATACTGATAGCCCCGTAGCCTGTGATGTAAGACCTACTGGATGAGATCGAATAGATCGAGTCTCGGGTCCCAAGGATCGCACATGGCGTGACGAGTCGACGACAACGCTGTTCAGCTTTGAACTTCTAACCTCTAGCCCCTGATAGTACTTCGTAGCCTCTTTGCTCTTACGAAATGACATCCGGATATGGTCAATGGATGGCAATCGTGACGCCAGCCGGGCCGGTGTGGCCCAATTTCCACTGGAAAGGAATTTTTTTTTTCTGTTTTGTAAATTATTACCATGTCGCGTGTCTTCGTATACTGCACTCTCTATCTAATTGTGGGCAAAGAAAGAGTGTGGATTGTCGAATCCCGAGGGCCAAAGTTTCGCCCCAAACATCCGGGGGACTCGTCGTCTCACGTTTCAACTTCAAGGTCCCCTGGAGACGGACTAGCTGGCTAGTGTGTGCGATAGATTAAAGCCAGAAGGGCGTTGGCTGACGCTAACGGTGTGCTAACCTAACCTGCAATGTTTGTAACTTCGGTCTGCGTAGATAGCCAATGCACGATGAATATTTCGACCAGGATCGGCCGGTCTAAATCGTAAAAATTATGGAACATTGAACTAGACTAGGAGCTAGTAAGTAATAACGTCGAGGAGATTGCTCGATCATATGCTTGATCCTTCAATAATGCATACAAACCGACAGTGACAGGAAAGGAGACTGTAAGCAGTAGAACGTATCCTTTGCATAATGGGCTGAAGAGAGCGAATCATCGTAATTGAAGAGTACAAGGTCTGCTAGATGCTGTCAGTACTGTTATCCATCGTCACTGCTAGGTCCGCCAAAAGGATACGACGCGATGACTTGGAAATTGACTCTTTGTCTGTCGATGACAAATGCTAAGTCTCAGAATTGCGGTGAGGGCCGTCTGTGACTCCCTCTTTTGCTCGGTCAAACGGCCAGGGTCGAAGGATCATCAAGACAAGTGCTGATCGCAGCAGATCGCTGTTTGGAGTATGGGCTACGAAGTAATTGATGACGGCATCTGTTAAGGCAGAAATGAAAGGACAGACGTTGATATAGAGACCGAAAACAGAAAAAGCAAAAACAGCGATCTCTTCTCGAACCATGGACGGAGTATGTCCGGATACTAAGTATTACTGGGACGGAGCAGGTGGGCTAAATCTAAGGTACCCGACTGTGTAGTGTGTCCCATAGTAGGACCCGATCCGCGTAGCTAAGCTTAACTTCTGCTTAGTGTTTACTTTGGAGTCTGAGAGCGTGCAGTCGAAAAAGCAATTATCTCCTTAGCTATTATCCACGGAACACTTCCTATCAATAAGAATCTCTCTGGAAAATTCCATCCCAGCCCTTCGGGACTCCCTTCGGCACTCACGACCAGCGGGTCCGTAGCTTGCTTTTTCTGAGCAGGTCACATGACCGCTCGTGATTCCGTGTCTGGATCCTATCCGCTGACGCTCCGTAGACGCGACTCGCCGTAGAACTAGAGCTCCCCAGTTATCAATCTATTGCTCAACTGCTTCACGATATCCATATCTCACTCAAGAGCGAAAGAATAGAATCACAATGACATCCCCATCAGCCTCCGCCTCCATCTGGAGCCGGAAACGCGACCTGCTCTACCTCATCTTCTTCATCATCCACATCCCAACCATCCTCCGTAAGTGAAGGCCACACTCAAAACATGTAGAAAGTTCCAATCCAGCTAATTGCGCTCGCAGTGGTCGACGCCGTCACCTTCCTCCCCACCTTCCTCCAAACAAACTTCGGGCTCCAATTGCGCGCCCACTACATCGCCACCTACCAGGACAAGTTCGCCGAGGCCCCTCCCCCCTGGTTCGCCGCCTTCGTCGCAATGGAGCTCTTCTACCAAACCCCGCTGTGCATCTGGGCCATCCCCGCTTTGATCCGCGATAAGGCCATGGTTCCGGTCCATCTGCTTGTGTTCGGCGTGCAGGCCTTTGTGACGAGCCTGACTTGTCTGGTGCAGATGTGGAGCTGGGAGGATCGCACGGTCGCGCAGAAGCAGAGTCTTACAATGCTGTATGGCCCTTATGTTGCTCTAGGTATAGTATCCTATCCTACTCTGTGTATGATTTTCTGATTGTGGATGGGTGCACTGACGTGTGTCGATAGGAGCGTTTATGGCCCTGGATATGGTCTTTAGGCTGAGGGGGCGGTTGGTGGGGAAGAGGAAGCTGGCGTAGGCTTTCTGTGGATGGCGTGCTGCATACCGGGTAGATTTAGTGTAATTGTTACGATTTGATCCCTTATGAATCTGGTTGCAATATTGCTGCTGTTGTTTCTGAGCTCGCTGGAAATATATATATCGCTTACATAGCCGGCCTTTCGAGCTCAATAATTGAGACTGTGGAATAGTCTGCAGAAAGCGTTCGCGGCATAAGATGTGTATTCACTGCAGCAACATTGCATGACCTCTATCTTACAAAACTGCCACAACATGACTTGGACCTCTGTGGTATCATCGCTCGATTGTCGAAAGTCTAGAACACTACCAAGGTATGTGCCATCTGCAAGCAAGGGCATAGACCTCTCTTCTAAAAGCAGTTGCAGAGGTCTAGACGGACCAAAGTCGGTTGCGATTCTTCGAGGTAACGGTCTAGGTGTCGGATGATCCCGGTATAGATGCATAGTATGTCGTGTTCCAAAGTGGCCTGTGGGTGATATCACATGTCAAATCAAAAAGCCAATCGCTCCATCAAGGTCCCCATTGGCTGCATCCAATGCTCGGACGGCCTCCTCCCGAGTGAATCCGAGCTCAGTGATTTTCGCAATCGAGTCCTGCGGCCAACGAGACGACGGCGCCGGGCGGATGTTAATCCTAGGTGTCGACGATGACGGAGCAGCTGCTGACGTGCCAGACCCGCTGGCCTGATGTGTGACCGCACCCGTTCGGGCGCCGACTTCGGCGCCATCGGCACCCTTGACAATAGGTTCATCCTCAAAGCCTTCCTGCAGCTCCTTGGGGATATCGGCCTCGCCGAGGAACGGCACGGCTTCGTCTTGGATGACCAGGGCACCCTTCTTCAGGTCAATGCATGCCTGATGTCGCTTCAACATATCCAATCCAAGGAGTAGATCGATGTGTTTCCCTTCCATCACGGTGAAGGAGCAGGGCAAAAACATGCTTCCAATCTTGATCTGCGCGGAGTGAACTCGACCCAGAATGGTTGCCGTTCCCACACCCTTTGCAATCCCCCCGTACCGCCGGTCCACCAGTCGCATTATGTTGCATGCGGTCGCACACTCGGGAGACATGATGGTGACTTGCGCTCCGGAATCGACAAACGCATTGACCTTGTGGCCGTTGACCTCAACAGGGATGTACAGCATTGTCACGCGACCAAATGCTGTTCTCTCGTTAGTCATTGATAGTGAGCCTCAGATCCGCTGCTACTTACATTCGGGATGATGCTCCATTGCAGTGTGAAGGTTTTCGGTCACTGCATTCTGTCGAATGATCTCCTCAATCTCCCTCTGATTCTCCGGGTTGAAAGGATCGGCATTCAGCATGGCGATGCGCGCCTCCTTTTCTGCTTCCATTTGAGCCTCCCGGCGTTGTTGTGCCATCAGGACATCGCGGAACCGTTGCGCGTCGTTGGCAGCATCTGCCAGCTCGGGGTTCTGCCGTCGGACAGCCTCTCGCACGCGAGGGTCACCTAGGATATGCAGTCGGATTGTCTCGGGGTCGGGAGTCATCGGTTGCCGCCGCTGAAGGTTCTGCTGAGCCGCTGCACTAGGGCCGCCTCCTAGGCTGCGAGCAGGCGCTTGAGGGCTCCGCATTGTAACGTGGACGCCTAGCATGTCCCCTTCCCCAATACCAATCTGCTCCAAAGTCTGTGCATCATTTCCAAGTAGTTGGTTGTTATATACGAGGCGTTGAGTATTTGTGGGTATGGATGTTTCGCTCTCAACGATAGCCTTGAGAAGCTCGACCGTCATATCCCCGCCGACTTCGAGGGAGATGATGTCAGAGTCGGCCTGGTCCGGTCGAATAACGCTGACAGTGATGCGCCTGAGAGTAGAAGAGAAGCTGTCAGCAACAGATGATGTAAGGCCCGCCTGGGGTCCAGGTTCAGCCCGATCGACTCACATTGTGTTGGAATGCGTGCGGTGCGGGGAAAGCTTCTTAGCTTGATCGCAAGTCCACCCAGATAATGATACGGCTTATTTCTTCAGGTTGTCTCTGTGGCGAGGTGTAATGTACAAAGCGAGAATGACAGGTAGTGTAACGGAAGAAAGTAATCGGAAAAAGTTCTAGGCAAGGTGTTCATACAGGGACAAACGGAGGATGATGAGAGGGGTGCACGAAGAAGATGAAGGAGGGTAAGAGAGGGGAAGAGCTGAAGAGACAAAGGGAGAAGAGAGGTAGGAGGACAGGGCGGTTATAGAAGGTGACTAAGGTAGCTCGCAAGGAGGAGAGAAATGGGATGGATGATTTGATGAGCGATATATGAGGGTGGTGGGAGAGGAACAAAACCGTTGCGCTTCTGGTGATGTGCAGCTGATGGCGGTCACTTCCCGGCAGCCCGCCCGATTAGGTATTATAGTATTATCGATCTGGCCCTCTTGAACAGGCAGCCATCGTGTGTCATCATCGTCTCTTCCCTCCCTCTCTTCCCTTTTCTTTCTACTTCTACCCAACCCATTCGAATTCTATTCGGATTATTCATCCCTCTTCAGTCAGCATGTTGATATATAATACCGTCAGTTAATATAACCCATGTACTATGTATACTACCTGCAAAGCTGCGGTTGGCACCATCCCTGCGACGCCGACTAGGGCCTCGTCGATGGCCATTGAGCTTTGAATCAGGGATAGTCTACCCTGTATCTACATGCAACCACTATATCAAGCTGTTTTTTTTATCAACCGCAATGAGATGATTGCGGCGGAAAATTGTGCCGTGCGCCTCTGATGCGACCGCAGGCTCAAGCCTCACACAGTCGACAGCTGCCTTTCCAGATGGTGAAACGTACCTGATTTTATCCTGGCCTGATGCCACGAGGACAACAGTTTCTGACATCATCAGCCGGCACCAGGGACAGCTCGCGATTTTTTTCGTGATTTCATCTAAACTCACGGTAGTCGAGCGACGACTAAACACCAGAATATCAGGAACCGATGCAACCTGTCTGTGTCATCAGCGATCAAAGGTTGACAGGACAATTATAAAGGCATCTGTTATATAGCCGTTGACCTCGGAGCAATCGCCGATATTATTGATCGTCCTTGGCATACATTGGAAACGTCAAGTCTGTCACTCCCTGTCAAATTAGCTCCAGTGTGTCGCCTGACCCCACCCTAGAGCGACAGGGGAAACTTGGTGTGATGCCATGCCTGGCCTTTCATCATAGTGGGAAAGCAGACCGCAGCCATTTAATCGTTCTCGGACACGGTGTGATTTATTGAGAGTGTGTACTTCATATGCGAGAGCGCAGTTTCCAGGATAGTACTTTTGGATATAATGGTATGTACCTTAGGAGGCTATGAGGCTATGAGACACGTCGCTGCAGCTAAATTTTGGGCTATTTGACGCTGAGACGGTTGTTTCGGTTCCGCTGCGGACGCCGAGAAGATCAGTGGGTTCTGAAATCACAACCGTTATTGCTCTGAATATGAGTCGAGCCAATAAGGTACATGCTCAGTTCGTACAGGGATACGGAGTAGACTGGGGTTTTTGAATATTGATTTGCTAAGCAGACGTACTGGCGACTTCTCTGAGCGTGACTCTCCATAGGAATGATGGTGCCAGACAGAATATGATCAATGCGAACAATTGTCTCAGGATGCTACATGCTATGGTTACACAGCGGAACGTCGAAATGATACGTACATCGCATTTCATGACAAATTTGCGCTCAAATCTATGCGAAACAGCCCTGTCAAACTTCTACTTCACCAAGTGGTACTCCAGACGCATGGCTGATGACACATCAGGCACTCCTTCACCATCTACGAGTTTTGCATCTACAATTGATCGACCGGAATCTCTACCAGTCGCGAAATGATATGCTGCAGGGTTGGCAGCGATTCCCAGCCCAGCGCATCAATCTCGAAGGAAGCTTTGGTCGTTTTGCATACTCGTATCACCTCGGACGGTACCACCTTGGATTCTGGTGACCTTGTCGTCTGAGAGCAATAGCTGCAGTCAAGCCGCCAATACCAGCTCCCACTATCAGAATTTGGAGGCTATCCTGGTTGCTCCCATGGTGGTTGAATCTCCTGGTCGGAACTTACAACAGGGAAGCTGTAGATGTAACTTTCCTTGAAATAGGACCTCTCCCCAACATAGGCTTACTCTGCTTTATTTGAGAAAAGCTGAACGCAGAGTAATAGCATGCATGCCCTTCGGAAAGCCATGCCATTGCCCCCGCATCAACGAGGAGAAATCCAGGAGACATCATGGCCGGCCATCGGCTCTGCATTTCGGCTCCACATGCGGAGAGGACAGAGCAGTCGCCCGCTGTTGCGGACGTAAGCCTTTTKACGGATTGGATAGCGGGACTTAATCGTGTTTATAATTTAGTTGTCATACATGCTACCGGGAGTAACACTTCCTTCCCTTTCATCTCAGATTCTCGAAGGCCAAGCGACGTCATGCCGAACCCAGTTCGTGAAGACATCACCACGAGGGATGATACTTCGTTCCCCTACATCTTTGAGCAGAATGTCACCATCCAGCTGAAGGATGGCTCCGGTCTGGTGCGGTGCAATGTCTATCGTCCAAAGGACCTTGAGAGGGCTCCCGTTCTGGTCACTTATGGCCCTTACGGCAAGGACATTCATTACCGCGAGTATGCATCGTCTTATTGCGCCGCTGTTCATGTACCCAGATTGCTGACTCGGCTAGTTTCCACCCCAAGTCATTCAGCGAAGTCAACCCCGAGCATCACTCGGAGCATTCCGCGTGGGAGACGCCCGACCCCGGGTTCTGGACCAAACATGGCTATGCGATTGTTCGGGCGGACGAGAGAGGAACAGGTCAATCACGGGGCAAGCTGGACACCATGTCACGCGAAACCAGCGAGGCTTTTTTCGACGTCGTCGAGTGGGCAGCGGAACAGCCATGGTCGACCGGCAAAGTCGGTCTGCTGGGTATCAGCTACTACGCGGGTAGCCAGTGGAGAGTAGCCGCGCGCCAGCCCAAGGGCCTCGCCTGCATTATCCCCTGGGAGGGCATGTCGGACTACTATCGGGACCGTTGCCGGCATGGAGGCATCCTGAGTAACTCCTTCATCAAATTCTGGTGGGACCGGCAGGTTGTCAGCAACCAGTACGGTCGCCCCGGTCGCGCAGCGCGTAACTGGGGCCCTGATACCATTGAAGGCGACCTTCCGGAGGAGGAGCTGGTGGCCAACCGACAAGATCAGACGATTGACAACGCCAAGAATTACTTCCGCGATGATATCTACTACGCGTCCAAGGAATACACACAGTCTGACATCCAGGTGCCATTGCTCTCCGTCGCAAACTGGGGTGGCATTCTTCTGCACCTGCGGGGAAATGTGGAGGGCTACACGCAGGCAGGCAGCGAGCTCAAGTACTTGCGATTTATCACCGGTCGACACGACCTTCCATTCTACTACAAGGAGGAAGTTGAGATTCAGCGTAGCTTCCTCGATGCGTTCCTCAAGGGTGAGGATCGTGTCGGCTGGAGCAAAGGAACGGCGCCAAAGGTAGACATTGTTCTCCGCAAGGGCAACGTCGGATTCAACAACGCGGAAGCCGAGAAACAGTTTCCTCGTCGCGTTGAAAATGAATGGCCCATTGCTCGGACGCAGTATACCAAGTACTACCTGACGTCCGACCGCGAACTGGTTACTGAAGCCAGACAGGAACGACCGGTGAAGATCACCTACCGCGCTCTGGGAACACTGGACAACCCCCAGCTTGTGCAATTCACAACTGCGCCATTTGAGCAGGAGGCGGAGATCACGGGACATATTGTCGCGCATTTGAATGTGTCGATGAGCCCTGACCCGGGCGCACCGACACCGCGGGACATTGATCTGTTCGTCACGCTGCGGTACATCTCGTCCGAGGGCGAGGAGGTCTTCTATACCGGCACGGCAGGCGACCCGGTACCTCTCTGCAAGGGATGGCTGCGTGTCAGCATGCGAAAGATGAACAAGGAGCATCGCCGTCATCGAACATATCTGCCCCACCGCGACTATTACTCCACCGATGTGCTGCCAGTGATTCCGGGCGAGGTGTACGGGGTCGATGTGGAGGTGTGGCCCACGAACGTGGTCGTGGAGAAAGGGGGCAAGATCGTTTTTGAGGTTTCGTCTGGGGACACCCAGGGCTGCGGTGTTTTCCAGCATAACTCCCCGACTGACCGGTAGGCCGCCGTTTCTCTTTTATGTCTTTCTATGCTAACTTGGACAGAGCACCGGAGAAATTCCAGGGTCAGAACCATATCAACTTTGGACATGGCGATAACTATGTGGTCCTGCCCATCGTTCCGCCGAAGGCATAGATAGAAATGACTGAGATATGATAGTTGCATTCGTATGAATATACTCCATGATTACATGAATCGGAAGAGTCCGGCTGCCGTTCCTGGATTGATAATCCTGCAGGAGTAGACTCGCGGCGGAAGCCCTAGGGCGAGAGAGAACAGATCCCCACTCCCGATGTGGTCCCGAAACAACAATAGTCATGCCAATTGGAGTGGTACATAACATGAAACTACCGTATGAGGGGTATAACTACTTCAATCTCCTCTGTACCTTACACAAACACACAAGACAGAAACACAACGTCCTCTAATTCTACCCCTCTACCAATCTATACTATCCAAAATGTCCTCCCGACCCAAGAAGAACATTCGCCCCCTCAAACGCTATATCACCACTCACGATGCCTCCGGCAAGGCCATCTTCTCCAGCGCCCTGTCCGAGGAAATGCCCGTAACCACCATCCCGGATGGCGCCGACTTCAGCCTCGCGTACACCTCCTCGCACTTCCCCGCCAAGCTCAACGACGAGGCCGACATCCCAGAGTACGCGAGCTACCTCTCGAACCCGCCTGGCATCGTGATCAGCACGGGCTCCGTGTGCCGGATCGTGGATATGCAGCCTGGGGCGACGAGCCCGATGCACCGCACCGTGAGCCTGGACTATGGGGTTGTGCTGGAGGGGGAGGTCGAGCTTGTCCTGGACTCGGGGGAGACGAGGCTGATGAAGAGGGGGGATGTGAGTGTGCAGCGGGGGACGAACCATGCGTGGAGGAATACGAGTCCGACGGAGTGGGCGCGGATGCTGTATGTACTTATGCCGGCTGAGGAAATCGAGATTGGGGGGAAGAAGCTGGGGGAGGAGTTGGGGCATATTGGGGTTAGGCCTAGTACTTGATTGTGCTTCTGATTCTACCTTGTGAATCGAATGGATGGTTCTTCAATATTTTGATTGTGAGAGGAAATGAAGTACTTGTAGACTGGTATTGGCTGCTAGACGCGTACTGGACGGCTCAGACAGATGCTGATATGATTAAAACTCCCCTCCGACGTCATACCGGAAGATCCGGTCGTTGATTCTACCCCCTGTGAGCCTCCACAGGCGAGCAGCAGACTGTGGATAGTTAGTAGACCCCTTGGTGATGTTCTTGAAACTGGGCTGACCGACCGCATTCAACCACACCCCGTGCAACATCACCTGGATAAACACAAATTCTCCGGGGTTGCTCCCCGCCGGTCTCTCGCTGTAGTCTAGTTCATGGTTCGCAGGTCGGTATGCTGGTACGCGACGGTAATTCGACGGCCAGTTGGCGGGTTGGGCTGCTTGCGAGACAGGGACTCCTTCAGACGACTGGGGTTCTTCGCTGCCGCTGTGGTGGAGTTCATAGTCGGCGAGGATGGAGAGGGAGTTGGTGCTTGTCTGGGTGGTTGTAGCTGTTGTCGCCATGTTGATTCGAGTTTGTAGTCTTCAGATTCTTGATAATAGTCGAGACGAATGTATGTAGGATGTGGTTAGATCTCGATAGGATTACCTGTAGTCTTGCACAGGATACAACATACACTCGGGTTGTTCGGAGATATGGCCTTGGGAAATGAATAGAGGCTAAGATGGCTCCCCCACATTTTTATTCGTTCGGAGATACAAAATCGAAGGATTCAAGAAGATAAATTAAATGATCAACTGATCTTTGGCCCTCGGGTTGCCCTCATTTGCAGCTCCCCCACCTCCCGAAGCGGAGTGGCCGACGGCACGCTGCGGCATAGTTTGACTATGATATGAACATAGGGGAACATTTCCTCTGAGAAAAGCATTTGGACCGTCTGAATCAGACTCGGGGTACTGACACTGTATCTTCGTAGTGACTGGACGGTGCAACATATCTTGACAGAGACAAGTCAGCCACCGCAGCAACGATGGTCTCCTCACAGTTCTCCCGGCTGCTCGCAGCAGAGATCGACGGCCGTACCCAAAACACCAGATATCGCCAGAATGAGTTCCATCGCCTCCAGTCGGTCCTCAGCCAGCACATCGACGAGATCCAAGACGCCATCCAGAAAGACTCCGGGAATGGACCCGAAGAAGTCCGCGCGGAGGTGTGTCTCGCGCTCAAGGAGATCCGCACACACTACCTGTCAGTCAGTCTGGAGAAGGACCTTGACGAGGAGTATCGCGTTGTAACTGGCAAGGACAATGCGGACGCGAAGCGCGGCGCAGGCATTGTCTACATTGTTCCCAGCACACATACAATGTTTTATTCCGTTATCTCAGCGCTCAGCGCGGCATTGGCGGCTGGGAATTGTATCATTCTCGAGGTGGGTTTGACACTCTGTGAGACCAAATGGATAGACTGATGGTAGCAGTTGACGAAGAATACCATGGCGCTGCCAGCCGTGCTGCGCAGAACTCTCTCCCAGGCCCTAGACGCGGATACCTTCGCCATCAGCGAAGAGAGACCCGATGCTGCTTTCCTCAGCAGGGTGCTTATGGTCTCCCAGACCAGTTCCGCGCCGCTCGCCGAGCGCAGTTTGCTCTCGCCTGCGAATGCGCGAACTGTGGCTGTCGTCGACAGAACGGCAGATGTTGCAGCCGCAGCTGAAGCGTTGGTCGCCGCGCGCTTCGCCTTTGGCGGCCGGTCGACGTATTCCCCTGATGTCGTGCTGGTTAATGAGTTTGCGATGAAGCGGTTTGTCGAGGCGGCTATCCAGCAGGCGTCCAGATATCTGGCTGGCCCGAACGGAGAGGCACGCCAGGGAGCGTCGAATCCCCGTCGATTCGGTCCAAGTGCCTCGCTTCTGGATGCTGCGCATAAGGACGCGGGCGCTCGCGTGCTTGTCTCTGGGTCTGGATGGGGGGTGGTGGAGGTCCATGATCGGTATGCTTCATCCTTTCATCCTGTTGGCAGTGGCTGCGGCTAACATTGACTACCATAGAAGCTCGCCTCTCCTGACGAAAAAGGTGCAGGAGAAAGTGCTCTTCCTTCATCCTGTGACAAGTCTAGACGACGCTATTGACCTCAGCAACTCGTAGGTCGCTCTTCTTTCCCTAGTCTACTATCGCTGACACCCTCAGGAGCGGCACACTGGCAGCGACATACGCGTTCGGCAGCCCCTCCGCAGCCAAATACATCACTCAGTTCATCGACGCCTCCATCTCGTGGATGAACCACGTCCCCGTCGACATGCTCAGTGAGTCCTCCTTTCCGTTCCCTTCCATCCAGCTAACAGACTCAGTCGGCCCTGCCTACCCCATCAACACGGCCCCCAGCACCGCAACCCGCTACACGCCCGCTCTCCTCCAGGTCCCCCGTCCCCAGTTCGTCGCCGAAACAAACAACTCCGCCCTGGTGAAAAGTATTCTCGACCCCTCAGACGCCACGAAATCGGCAAACGCCTGGCGCGAGGCCCTTGCCTCCTTGCCGTCTACAGGCCAGCGCCCCGGCTGGAAAATCGGATTCTTCGAGCAAGGGTTAATCACTGGTGGGGTGATTACGTTTGGGACGTTGGTAGCGACGGTGTCGACTGTGGGGTGGTACACCTTTTCATATGTGAGGAGGTTGCGTGCTTAGATTAGTTTAGGTACTGTGTAGTATACTTGGTTGAATTTATTGGTCCTCGGTATACAATTGCTGTAACGGTTGCATTTTCTCTTCGGAATCTAGCTTTTAATTTACTTCTTCAGGTTTTTGTTTGTGGAGAATGTCAGGCCCTTATCCTCCACACTATATTTCGACAATATATATTTTCTCACAAAGCATTTAAAACACACAACAACATTGCAAAGGGATTAACTCTCACATGGTAGGGAGCAGAATCATCTTGCTCTGAAAATAACCATAACTTAATCTGATCTGTTATGGTAGGAAAGGTAGGCTAAACTTTGAAGCGGATGAACCGACTGTATGAGAGCTTTGACTGACAAGTACCTTTGGCTGTTCAAGACTTACGAGTATAATGCAATAGCTAGATATCGACTAAACAGAAATATCCTTGGACCACGACCCAAGAGTAAACTGCGAATTACACATGTTGGTCAATTCCCAGCTCTCCGCACCCATCACAGCCGGCGACCCCGTATCCTCGAAATCCCCCATCGCTCCGGCCACAAACATTGCCGCCATGAAATGGTCATCCGTGGCATGGGCATCACGGTACTGGGGATGCTTCATCAACCGGGTCATCGCGCGCCGCAGCGCCGGCCCGGAGGTCTTCGTGATGACGTCCTCGACCGCCTGGCGGAACTCTAGCGCCCACTCCTCCGGCGGCGTCTCCATGGCGAAATTATCGCGGAAGCGCAGCATGGGTGCCCAGCGGTTGCGGTAGAGGTTGTGGACTGCGCCGCCGGTCCCGATGAGGAGGTAGTTCTCGTAGCGGAGGGGCCGCAGCGTCGCGCCGACCTTCATATGGTAGTGTGGATCGTAGCGGGCGTTCATCGAGATGATGGTCGTCGGAGGACAGCCGTTGGGGAACATGTGGATGAGGATCAGGTAGACGTCGTGGATCCAGTCGAAGGTTGGGTTGCCGCTGGCGTTGAAGCCTTCCTTGGTGAGCATGTCGATGCATCGTTGGGCAGTCTCGAGGTCTGGGTTCAACTTGTAGTTGACGTATTTGTCGGGGTGGACGTAGGCGACAGGCGACTTGTCCGGGTTGGGGTTGGTTGCGACCTCGATCTTATCGCCGAGACAGTCCCAGTGCGCGCCCTGATCAGTCAGTTTGTCGTCAATATTGAAGCCTGAAGGTGACTGACTGACCATGATGATTACGCCTTTGATGTTGTGAGCCAGCGCTTCCTCACCAGTCCTCCTCCAGTAGTCTGCCGACTCGGATTTCTCTCCCAGCATCATGGTCGAGCCATGGGAAAAGAAATGAACGGGTGTGAGACCTATCTTGTCAGCTATTAGTCTGCGAATGCTGTACCGAGAGCCTGCCATACCCATGTTTGCTTTGAGTTAGCTGTGTGAAGGGCAGCCTTCGAGATTTCAGTCAGACATGATCGAGTTCAAAATAAAGACACCATCTTGGAAATGATTTCTAGCTGCATTATTATCCGGCACCGACCCATGTATGGCCAGATCTGCCACCCAGTTTCCAAGCGTTCGGGTATGCGCCCCCACGTCCCGAGACTCCCGACGCACCTCCGCATTCTGATTTGGGTGCCCCAAACGAGGACATCCGAATGACCGCGTAATGCTCATCTCCCCACCATGACTTGCAGTGATTATAATCCTATCAATTGCCCTGCTGGATGCCGGACGGCGTTTGAAGAGTGAAGTCCTCTGAAGGTTGAATTATTAGTGTTGAACTGTCTGTGCCATGGGAACATCAGAACCAGGATTGGCAGCCTCCCCTTGGATCAGAGAAGCATAGCCCGTTTCTTTCTAGCTGGGGAATCTGAATGAGATGAGATTGTCAGCTGCGATCAGAGTAACTTATCATTAGTTATGGACCTGTAGTCATTCCAAAACCAAAGTCAGAACTGTTAGAGTGATGACAGGGGAGAACAGGCCTCAGGCAGTCACCAATAACCATGGTCGGCAATTCTGCTTCCCCGCATATTCAGCATTTTAGCTTCATCCACCCCATCTTCCCTCATTCTCCCTGTTCATCATCCGCTACTCATAGCCGCACATCCGAAATTTCTCCTTCTGTCTGACGGGTATTCATGTCTCGAATCAGTCCGCTTAAGTAGAGTTTCCTCAAAGGATTCATGTATCTTCGCCATGGCAATTGACTCCCCGCTCCCCATTGTCGACAACTCTCCCCACAGCTCCCTCGGCAGGCAGCGCGACGGCTATTTCCAGTGCGGTTCCTGCGAAAAAAGATACAGCCGAGCCGACCACCTAATCCGTCATGTTCGATCACGTCAGTTCTTTTCATGTAGACAGTGCTGTCAATGCAGCCGGCTAACTTCCTGTAGATACCCGCGAGAAGCCATATGTATGTGACGTTTGCAATAAAGGCTTCGCCAGGCCGTGAGTTGTCTCTTGAAAAGTTCATACCAGAACAGAAAAGTCACAGCAAGTTTGTGTTGTCGAGACTGAATGTGTTGCAGGGACCTGATGAAGCGACACGCGGCCGGTCATATTCAACCACGCGACAGCAAACGAAGGCGTCTCCCCTCCTATCCCAAGAATGGTCGTGTGTCGCAGGCCTGTAAGACCTGCGCTTCATCGAAACTCAAGTGTGACGAGGAGAAGCCTTGTCGGCGATGTCGGGAGAAGAATTTGGTCTGCGATTGGGCGCAGGATGGCAGTTCGATCGACGCATCCCCTCAACCACAACGGCAAGGTGTGCGCGCGAGTATTCAGCTGACAAGATTCACAAGCTAATGGAATTTGCAATACAGCATCCCAAAGCGACCAGGCGCCATATCTCCCTGTCGACGCATCACAGGTGCACACCACATTCCCACCCCAAATCGACGGGCAAATAAACCACTATCCGAATCAGATGGTCAGTCCAACTGCGCAGATGAACAATTACCTGCCTGCGGAGCTTCAATCCGGGTCGCCTACGATAGATCGCGAAAGTGGCGTGTTCAGTGTCGACGGTACCTTCTTTCCCGACTTTATCCCGGACTCACTGATACCTTCACTGAATCGAACGAGCGACCTGGACCCGCTGCCTGTCCTTCCACAGGACTACATCCACAGTATATTTGACCACAATGTTGACTTCGACTTCGATTTGACCGACGTGGATTATGGACTCATCGACCTCTTCAACTCTCGGGGCGCTGTCCATCATAATGCCCACAATAGCGACGGAGCCAACGATCGTGGTGATGTGGACAGCGGCATTGCCATCGGTGCCGAGGCGTATCATCGGTCATCTTTGTCTGCGTGGAAACCGGCCCACGAAGATCATGTGTTTGCCGACCAGGAAAATCTGTCTGTTCCGGAGGCGATTGACAGCCCCGAGGCCAATTTCCGACCGGATCGTCAGATCCTCTCGGACCGGTTGTCCCCAAGTGGTCGTGATCTCATTTTTGGCATGGTTCTGCAGACCAGCCAGCGAGCCAATCTAACTCGCATCATGAAATCCTTCCCAAGTACCCAACTGCTAGACAGTTTGATCCAGTACTATTTCGAGTCCCAAAGTTACCACATAGACTCCTGGATCCACGGACCGACCTTTCGGATGAATGACGAGTCCCCCGATATGCTTGCTGCTCTTGCCGCAGCTGGAGCCGCTCGATCATCCATTCCGACCATCCGCCGGTTAGGTTACGCCTTGATGGAAATAGTGCGCCTCCAGATGTCGGTAAAGGTTCGTTGGCGTCTGTAACTCCTGGCGCGAAGAAACCAGCTAAAGATGCTCACATCTAGTACGAGAGCGACAATAGCACCACACGCGATCTGCGTGCCTCGCAGACGTTTGCTCTGACCATCGATGTCGGAATATGGAGTGGCAACGCACGGAGGACAGAGATTGCGGAAAGCTTCCAGCAGCCTTTGGTCACGGTTTGTCAATCTGCAGGAGCCGTGGATACAAGTTCACTGACGATCCCAACCATAGATGATGCGACGCGCCTTACGTTTTCGACGCTCGGCCTATTCCAACATCGCCCCGAGCCCCGACGACGATGGAGATATTCTGGAGAAAAAGTGGCGGGATTGGGCTCATTCCGAATCATTCAACAGGTAATTAGTTGCTTGCAGCTGGACCAACTGGTTTACTGATTCCAGACAGGCTCGTGCATCACCTGTTTCTGCATGATGCTCAGTCGGCGATGATGTTGAACGTGAACCCAATAATCTCGTACTCCGAGCTGGAACTTCCTCTGCCTGCTCCTCGCTCGTTGTGGGAGGCCAAATCTGCCAAAGACTGGAAGGAAGCGTACTTGGCGAGTGGACTGTCGAGCCGTGGCCGAACACCCTCGTTGGTTGACACTCTACAAGACATGTCCCAGTTGTCGGCATTTCAATCACGAATCGATCTTCAACTGTCCACCTTGGCCCTCATTCACGGTCTCTCTACGCTAATCAGCGAATACCATCGCCACAAATTTATAGCGAAAGGCCATTCCAAACATTGGAGTGCTTTGGTGATCAGTTCACGGCATCAAGAGTTGTCACAAGCACTACAACATCTCCGCATGCTTTGCTTTGAGATGTCTAACGCTCTCGGGCCCGGGATTGTTTTGGTCTTTGAACTCATTTCCATGTTCCTCCACATGTCGCTGGAGGAACTGCAGCTGTTCGCAGGTAAGGAGGATAAGAACGAAGCCCGTCGGGTGTACCAGAGCGCGCTCGAGTGGATCAGCAGTATTGACTCGCGACGGGCGATTTGGCACGCCGGCCAAGTGATACGGGCGGCCAAAGTCATGCCTCCGGGGTCTTTGACTGGGTTCTTTGCCTTGGGAGTCTACTACGCTAGTCTCGCGTTTTGGTCCTACAGTGTTGTATCGAAAGCCAAAGATTCTAAAGCGGTCGTCGGCAGTCCGCCATCGGACCCGCACTTCCGCGGTCCCTGGCCCACAGTCTATCTGGATGGTGAGGAAACGACCGACGTGCAAAGGTTCATCTCGTTAGGGCGCGGCTGTCCGGCTTTGCAGGCTCCAAGTGGT